ATAGAGAAAGAAAATTATAGACCAATTTCTCTAATGAATATAGATGCAAAAATTTTAAACAAAATACTAGCAAGTAGATTGCAGCAACTTATCACAAGAATAATACACTATGACCAGGTAGGATTTATACCAGGAATGCAGGGTTGGTTCAATATTAGGAAAACTATCAGCATCATTGAGCATATCAACACAAAACCAACAGAAACCACATGATCATCTCAATAGATGCAGAAAAAGCTTTTGATAAAATACAACACCCATTCCTATTAAAAACACTAGAAAGCATAGGTATAAATGGAGTCTTCCTTAAAATAATAAATAGCATTATCTAAAACCTTCAGCAAGCATTATATGTAATGGGGACAGGCTAGAAGCATTTCCAATAAGATCGGGGTGAAACAAGGATGTCCATTATCACCACTGTTATTCAATATTGTACTGGAAACCTTTAGCTTTAGCAATAAGAGAAGAAAAAGAAATTGAAGGCATTAGAATAGGCAAAGAAGAAACAAAGCTATCACTCTTTGCAGATGACATGATGATATACTTAGAGAATCCTAGAGAATCAAGTAAAAAACTACTTGAAATAATAAACAACTTTAGCAAAGTTGCAGGCTATAAAATAAACCCACATAAATCATCAGCATTTCTATATATTACCAACAAAGCCCAACAGCAAGAGATAGAAAGAGAAATCCCATTTAAACTTACTGTAGACATTATAAAATATTTAGGAGTCTACCTCCTGAAACAAACCCAGGAACTCTATGAACACAATTACAAAACACTTTTCACACAAATAAAATCAGATCTAAATAATTGGAAAAACATCAGTTGCTCATGGGTAGGCCGAGCAAATATAATAAAAAGGACAATCCTACCTAAGCTAATTTACTTATTCAGTGCCATACCAATCAAACTACCAAAAATTATTTTATAGAGTTAGAAAAAATAATAACAAGATTCATTTGGAAAAACAAAAGGTCCAGAATATCAAAGGAACTAATGAAAAGAAATGCAGGGGAAGGTGGCCTAGCAATTCCAGATCTTAAATTGTATTATAAAGCAGCAATCATCAAAACTGCTTGGTACTGGCTAAGAAATAGGGGAGGTGGATCAGTGGAATAGGTTAAATATGCAAGACACAGTAGTCAATGACTTTAGTAATCTATTATTTGATACACCCAAAGACCCCAGCTTCTGGGATAAGAACCCACTCTTTGAAAAAAACTGCTGGGAAAACTGGAAAAGAGTATGGCAGAAACTAGGCCCAAATCTTATACCATATACCAAAATAAAGTCAAAATGGGTTCATGACTTAGATATAAAGGCTGATACCTAAGTAAACTGGGAGAACAAGGAATAGTTTACCTATCAGATCTATGGAGAACAGAAGAATTCATGACCAAACAGGAGATAGAGAACATTATGAAAAGCAAAATGGATAATTTTGATTACATTAAATTGAAAAGTTTTTGCACAAACAAAGCCAATGCAACTAAGATTAGAAGGAAGGTAGAAAATTGGGAAAGAATTTTTACAACCAGTCTCTCTGATAAAGGCCTCATTTCTAAAATATATAGAGAATTAAGACAAATTTATAAGAACACAAGCCATTCCCCAATTGATAAATGGTCAAAGGATATGAACAGACAGTTCTCAGATGAAGAAATTAAAGCCATCTATAGTCATATGAAAAAATGTTCTAAATGTTATTGATTAGAGAAATGCAAATCAAAACAACTCTGAGGTACCACATCACACCTATCAGATTGGCCAACATGACAAAACAGGAAAATGATAAATGTTGGAGAAGATGTGGGAAAATTGGAACACTAATACATTGTTGGTGGAGTTGTGAAATGATCCAACCATTTTGGAGAACAATTTGGAACTATGCCCAAAGGGCTACAAAAATGTGCATACCCTTTGATCCAGCAATAGCACTTCTAGGGCTATATCCCAAAGAGATCAAACAAATGGAAAAGGACCCACATGTACAAAAATATTCATAGCAGCTCTTTTTGTGGTGGCAAAGAATTGGAAATTGAGAGGATGCCCATCAATTGGGGAATGGCTAAGCAAGTTGTGGTATATGAATGTAATGGAATACTATTGTGCTATAAGAAATTGAACAGGCTGACTTCAGAAAAACCTGGAAAGACTTATATGGTCTGATGCTGAGTGAAGTGAGCAGAACCAAGAGGACTTTGTACACAATAACAGCCATGTTATGCAATGACTAAGATTGTTAAACTGAACCCTTCTCAGCATTTACGGATCTAAGACATCTCCAGAGGCCTCGGGATGGAAAATGCTGTCCACATCCAAAGAAAGAACTATGGAAGTTGAATCGCTATCACTTACTTTTACCTTCTGTTGAGTTTTGTTTCATCTTTCTGATGGTTCCTCCTATTGGTTTTAATTTTTACTTATAACTTCACTAATGTGGAAATATGTTTAATGGGTATGTAAATGTAAAGCCTATATCAGATTGTGCCCCATCTTGGGGAGGGTGGGGGGAGGAAGGGTGAGAAAAATTTTCAGCTCAAAAACACATGGAAGTGATTGTTGATAAATCAAAATAAATTAATAATTTTTTTTAAAAAAAGAATTAGTTGGAAGATCTTGGAGATTTAAGGAAATTTCACTGAGCTTATGTGTTCTCATGTGTAACATGATGAGGATTGGACTAGATTAGGGAATCTTAACCTTTCTTATATCATGGACCCCTTTGGCAGTCTAGTGATACTTATGAACTTTTGCTCAGAACATTCTTTTTTTATACATAAAATACATAGGATTAAAAGGAAACCAAAAGTTAGGGAAGAAAAAAATGTGTTTTTTCAATCAAATTTCATGAACCCTCTGAAATCTATCCATAAACCAGATCCCAGGTGAAGAATCCCTAGGCCACATTATTTCCAAGATTCCTTCAAGCTCTATAAATTCATGATTTATTAGAATATCCACACGTCTGACTGTACCTTAATGAACAGAGAGATCTAGAATTAGCTCTACTTGCTGACTAAAACTGTGGAATGTGTTTTTTTATGCAGTTGTCTCAATTGGGAAATAGACATCCTCATTGTGAAGACTAAGCTCTCTCTTCTCCTGGTCATTCCCCTTGGACTCTCCCATCAACATAACTTATCCTATAATTCTATGGTATAATAATAATAATAGCTGCATATAATGTACGTGATATGATGTCATCGTATTTTCCTTGTAATTTCCATAAAAGGTACCACCATCTTTCTAGTCACTCAGATTCACAACCCTAGTCATTCTCTACTCTTCAATCTTCCTCTCCCCATATATCCATTCAGCTGCCAAAACTTATCATTTCTACCACCACATAATCTCTAACGTCTGTCCCTTTCTATCTACTGACATGGCTTCAGGCCCTTTTGACTAAACTGTAGTAATAACTGATATCCAACTGGACTGCCTGCTTTCAGTTCCTCCCCTCTCCCACTCAGCAGCCGAAGTGACATTCCAAAAGCAAAAGTCTGACCATGTCATTCCCATGCTCATGAAGCACTAGAGGCTCCCTTTTACCCCTGGAATTAAACACAGACTGTTCTGATTGACATTCATTTAAAGCCATTGCTAGCCTTATTCCACATTTTCTTTCACACATTCTACATTCCAACACATGACCTTTCATATTCCACCTCTACACTTTTGTACATATTGCCCCACAGAGCTGGAATCTACACTTCTGACTTTTGCCTTTGCAGAATTTCACATCTCCTTCAAAACATAACTCAAGTGACACTTCTTATACAAGCCCTTGCTCAGTCTCCTGAGATGCTAGTTTCTGTCATCCAAAAACACCTTGTGTATTTATATACGTTTATCATACATATTATTTTCTTCAAAAGAATGTAGATTCCTTGAGTGATGGGGTTTTTTTGTGTTTGTATCCCTGAGAGCCTTGGTGCAATGAAGATAATTAATAAATACTAGTAGAAGAATCCATTTTATGATTAAAATCAATTAATGATTTTATTCCATTTCTCCTGCCTCTCCTCAATACATCTCCAGTGCATTCATTTGTGCCTTGTGCTTTCTGGATCGAAAATTGTTAGCTACCACTAGGACAAGAACTTAGGTATCAAAATTTCTCTGTTCAGGGCTGAAAAATTGGATAACAAGTTCAGGTGTTTGATTATTAAGGTCTAGAATTCTCCCCTTCTTGATCTACATCTCCTGGATTGACTGATTTCCTTCAAGTATGAGCTAAAATTCAGTCTTCTCCAAGAAACTGAATGTTAGTACCTCCCTTCTGCTGATTATCTTCAATTCATCCTGTATAAATATTGTTTATATATAGTTGTTTGCATATGTTTCCCCCCATTAGAATCTGAGTTCTCTTAGAAAAGGGGCTATTTTTGTTTTGTTTTTGAATGTATTTTTTTTTTTGCCTTCTGAGTGACTGGCACACAGTAAGTATTTAATAAATGCTTGTTGACTTGGCAAAGTAGTGTAAATTACATGAAAGCATATAATTGTTATCACATACCTTTTTTGATATGGGAAATATGACAAAGGAAGGAAAGTTCTAAAATCCTACTTATTGTAGGATGTAACTCTGATCATTTACACTGTTCCAAAGGGAGATGGGAAAGGTCGACCATCCAAGTTTGGAACTGGAGGTGGTATACACTTCCCCTCTGGTTTCAATTCCCTCTGTTAGTCTACCCATTTATTGACCTCAGTTGCAGGAAGTATCTTTGAGCTCTTCTATAACCTGCTTCAACCTTCTAAGACATAAAAAGGACTGGAGTTTAGTTTGCCAGTTCTGAAGCCACAGCTGAGTGCTATTTCTGGTTATCGCCTCATCATTTCCTGTTGCTCTTTTCATTTCTGGTAAAATCTGAAGGGCTAAGCATCTCAAAATGGTTTTACTGATGATAAGAGACCTGCTTGCCTTTTTTCCAACTATATTTTCATCCCACTATTTAGCCAGCTTGAGAATAACTTGAAATACTTACTGGATTGAGGATAAGGGTAAAGAAAAGTTCTCCTCCCTGGATACTCTTGTCCAGTTCTTTTGGACCTCCTGGATATTCTTTGTAGAAAATTGTATGTGTGAAAAGACCACAAGTTTGCCGGGGAAGAACCTGATTGAAAAATGAACAAGTCAGAAAAAAAAAAGTTACTTTCCGTTGTGATTTGTGGAAGCTGTGACATTTCTCTCATCATACATTATATATGATAGGATACCATTTCACAAGGCCAAATACAAATTGAAAGATTACTCATCCTCTGAAAAAGGAACGATGATGCAAAAATATATGGGATATTTATTCAAGATTAAAAGAAGGAAATTAGAAGAAATGTTTTCAAGATAAGGTAGATATATAATTAATTGCATCCATGCAGGCCCTTTAAATTACATATTTGGAGCTTACATTTCAAAGCTTCTGAAAGTATAAACAATGAATCAATACTGATACTGTGTTGCCTATTTAGCAATACTGGTAAGCACTCTATTTTCTTTAAAAATGTATACCTACATTAAAGGATGAAATTAATGTACTAACTTAATAAGCTTTTAGGGGAGAATGACGTCTTTAATTCAATCGAGCCTTTGGATCATAAAGGAAAGATTGATATACTCTAGTGCTCATAATCCCATTTCTGAAGTCTGGTAGTTGCCAAAGAATTTATGTTTTTTGGTAGTCATTTTTAATAATCCCATAACGTATATGTACTATATGATGTTAAAAAGGTCACCTTTTCATCATTGAATAACATAAATGCCATTATTTGTTACTATTGTGCAACTGCATAAGAACATTTTTCAAATTCTTATGGTTTTCCTTGTGAAATATCATGACAATTTTATCAGAAGGCAAGAAGTAAAGTTGTGTAAGTAGGCACATTCCTCAGCAAAATCTTATAGAATGACTTGCTTATGGTCCATGTTCATCACTATGAGCTTGAAGTGGCAGGAAATTAATGCATTTGCTTTGGGGAACAGCCTGTCTTCCAATTTCTAAGGAAGGAAACTCTTTTATTGATTGTTCTTAGTAAATGAATCTTCAACCCTGCTGTCCTATTCCTCAACGTTTATGGTAAACTTGGTTCAATATATATCTTCAAAATGTTGGTGCTTCTTGTCAAAATTTTGGAAAAGAGAATTTTTTGAAGAATTCTTTCAATCATTAGGCTTTATTCTAGAAATTTACCTTTTTTTTTGGAGAATGTCTACTAATAATTGTGCTGTTACGTGGGTTGTAGTAAAATTTGTTGTAGGCATTGATAGTTTTCCCTGAGCACAAGCCACTGCAAATTTACTTTGAATAGCCTACTTTGAGAAGCTACTTTAATGAAATCTTCCACATTAGTAGAGGAAGCAAAAGACAGTTACTGTGGGTAACTGGAAGAAGGACTTAGAAGCACCTCTATTTTGCTAATAAATCAAAGTTTTACTCAACGAACAGAGCATTAATCCTGGTGAAGTCTATGTGTTAAGATATTAGTAGAAATGAGTATTTTTTTCTTGATTTGGACCAATGATTTCATTAGTATGGGGAACATGTAAATGTGGAATTCTCTGGGCTAATGCACACTGGCAAATGATTTATAATTTATAGATGTTATATCTCTAATTTCTAGATTTAGAGAGCTGCCTTTGGCACTAACAGGATAAGTGGCTTACCGAAAGTGATACAATTCATATGTGTCAGATGCAGGACTCGAACCCAGACCTTCCTGACTCTAAAGCCAGCTCTTTACACTCTGTACCAGGTTGCCTTAATGTCACACACAAAATAAGAAATTAAATCAACCCCCAAAACAAAACAAAATGAAAATATTATTTCTATTATGATTTAATTTATTCACTCAAAATAGCCATTACCACACTTGGAAAGGTCATTTCCTGAAATTATTAACCCAGAAGGTTTGATCTTGCTTTGCATTCATTAATTCATTTAACAGATATTTATGCATAGCTCTGTTCTATCTGTAGCAGGAGGCAGAGTATGAAGCATGATTTCTTTCCTTAGGAAACTCAAAATTCACATAGGAGGACAAGGTATAGTGAAAAGGCTACATGGTATTGAATGTCAAATGAAGAGGACATACGCTATAGGAAATCTGAGAAGGGAGAGATCCTAGTGGGCTACAGTGGGGTTAAGGAAAGCCACGAGGTAAGATTTATGATGGGATTTCAAGGATGGGTAACATTTAAATAAATAGAAATATGAGGTTAGAAAATTTCAAGTGGGGAAATTGGAGTAAGTAAAGCTAAAAACATGAGAATAGGAGACTGAAGAGAATAAGTTGTAGTTTTAGATTGGATTGTAGATATCTTTAAATGCAAGACTAAAGCTTAAACTCTATTTTATAGTCAATGAGGGTTGCTTAAGGCTTTTGAACCATAAAGTGACATGATACATGAAAACCACATTTAAGAAAATTTAATTTGATGCTGAAGAAATAGAGAATAGGGTAGGAAGAATAGTTAGGAGCCTGTTGAAATTACCTAGTCATGAAATGATAAGAGCTTAAATGGAGTAGAGCTAATGGGAATAAAAACAAAGAGCAGATGCAAGGAATATTATAAAGGAATAAATTGATAGGACTTGGTATCTGGATTCAAAGTTATTATTATTATATTCTTACCCAGAAAAAGGAGGTCAGGATTGGATCCCATCTATGCCCCTCCTAGGGCCTTTGGGAAGTATGATAGGATGAATGTCTGTGGGGGTTTTTTTCCCCCACCCACCATGGATTAGGAAAAAAGAAACAAAGCTGGGATTTGATTGCTCAGAGATTAGGCAAGATTCAAGCTTTGCTTCCATTGACATAGCTCCCAGGTGGCCTCTGGATGTGTGAAGTAGGCTTCCAGGTCCCATAGAGGGCCAAACAGTTTCCTGCACCTTTCATGGGGTCTGAGCCCCTCCAACTTGGTGGTTGTCTGAAAACCGCTTGAACCACCACATGGAATCTTGCTGATGAGACATGTTTCATAAGGGGATTGGGGCAGTGGGATATTTCTATAGAAACTAAATACTTTTTGGTATGCCAAAGCTAAGTCAACCTCCTTTGGTTAACCATTCAGTGACTTTACAGGTGTCTCATCTTGCACCAATATGGAACATAAAGGAATAGGTGCCTTTTCAGGCCTACCTCTAACAGGATGCCTCTTGATATCTCAGAGCCTGACATATATAAAATAGGGATAAGAGACCCTACATCATAGGGTTGTGGGAGGCTCAAATGAAAAAAATGTGTGAAATTCTTTGAAATTCTTAAAATGCTATGTACATGTGAGCTATTACAGAGTCTCCCAATTTCAAATGCAGGTCTCTTTCTACTGTCTCTTGAAGACATGTTTTCAATAAATTGATGTACATGTGACGTGATCTAATCAAGTTATAAGCATGTAAAAAGAGATCATGAGGGAGAAATTACAAGGCTCAGAAAATCCTGAGCGGATTATACAGCAACAAGAAAAAAAAATCGGTGCTTATATAGTTCTTTAAAGTTGGACAGTTTATAGAGATTATCACATTTTAACTTTACAGAAGCCCTATGAGGTAGACATTCTAAGAATTATCTCGATTCTCTAGATGAGGAAACTGAAAGTCAGAGAGACAGTGACTTGTCCATGGTCATACAGTTATTAAGTGTCAAAAATGAATTTCAAACCCAGATCATTCAGACTCCAAGACCAGCACTCCAAACATTACGGGGGAACTATAGGGATATATATTGGTCCATATTTTTACTGGTATAAGAAACTTCCTGGTGAGGGAATGCCCTCTACCAAAGTAGTTAAGCATCTTGATTGTAATCCTAGGTCCTTTGATTTCTGGAATATGATATCTAAGTCCTCCACTCCTTTAATATTGACATTGCTAAATTTCATGTGATCCTGACTGAATTGAATTGTTTCTTTTTGGCTGCCTCTAATAGTTTATCCTTGACCTTGGAGCTCTGGAATTTGACTACAGTGTTCCTGGGAGTTTTCATTTTAGGATCTCTTTCAGGAGGTGATCAGTGGATTTTTTTTTTCAATTTCTATTTTATCCCTGGATTTAAGGTATTTGGGGCAGTTTTCTTTGATAATTTCTTAAAATATGAAGACTAGGCTCTCTTTTTTTTTTTAATCGTGGCTTCAAGGTAGTCTAGTAATTCTTAAATTATCTCTCTTTGCTCTATTTTCCAGGTCAGTTGTTTTTCTGATGAGATATTTCACACATTCTTCTATTTCTTCCATGTTTTTGAATTTGTTTTATTGTTTCTTCATGTCCCATGTAGTTCTTAGCTTCCACTTGCCCAATTCTAATTTTTGAGAAATGATTTTTTCAAAGAGATTTTGTATCTCTTCTTCCATTTGGCTAATTCTGCTTTTAAATGAATTATTTTCTTCCATAGATTATTCTGCCTCTTTTGCCTAATGACAAAATTGCAAATGGTATTTTTTTAAGGTGTTATTTTCTTCAGTATTTTTGCCGCCTCTTTTACCAAGCTGTTAATCATCTTTTCATAATTGTCTTGTATTACTCTCACTTCTTTTCTCAAATTTCCTCTACCACTCTTTTCTTTTTCTTTCATTCTTCCTGTAATTCTTGTTGGGCTTGGGTCCAATTAACATTATTCTTTGAGACTTTATAAATGTTTTAACATTGCTGCCTTCTTCTGAGTTTATGTCTTGGTCTTCCCTTACACCAGAGTCCACTTTTGTTGTTTGTTCATTCATGTAGCCTATTTCTTAACTTTGAATTTTATATTAAAGTTGGGCTCTGCTCACCTGTGAGTAAGGAAGCACTGTCTCAAGCTTCAGGCTTTTTAGTGCTGCTTTTTTTCAAAGCTAGTTCTGGGGAATCTGCAAGTTTTCCTTGCTTCCAGTGTGATATGATTCAGAGAGAGGTGTGTTTGCTATTCTCTTGTTCTTCTCTGGTGTTTACCCTGGAAAGTAACCTGCTTCTCTTCTTGTAGGTACAAGTCCTAACACTCCTTTTGGCCCTGGATCTACGACCAGGTCTCTTTTTCTCCTAGTTACAAGTGCTAGTGCTCTTCTCTGCCTTGGAACTGTGACAAAGACCCCTGTTCCCTTGTGACTGAATATAAGTGCTTCTCTTGGCCACAGAACTGCCTCCTAGAATTGTTAATGGCAATAGCACCAGCCAATCAGCCCCAGCTGCACCTAGTGCCAGCAAAAGGTTGCCTATAATCTCTTTCTGACCAGTTCTTCAATCCACTTACCTTCTCTTGGCTGAGAGCACTCAAATCTACTATTGCTTCTAGTGTCATAGCCACCTCCAAAGCCCACCCCTGATGCTCCACCCTGAGCCAACTCTCACCCTGCTGTCACAGATGACTCTTGCCAACCTTCCATGCTGTCTTAGGCTGGAAAAATGCCTCACTCTGACCTTTTGTTGGCTCTGCCACTCCAAACTTTGATTTGAAGTTATTTTAAAGTTGTTCAGAGGGGAAAGTGGGGAGAGTTCAGTTGGGTTGCTGCCTGTACTCCACCATCTTGGCTCCCTAGATCTCAAATTGTTCTTTAACTTGTCCCCCAGCAGCTATGATTCTGCCAAAAGACTGTATTTGGCAGCTTGAAATGTCATAACAAATCCATTCCGGGCAAATAAGCCCATGGCAGCAGGAGCGAGTACAAACTTCCAAGAGTTCTATTGTTAGGAAACTCTCACTAGTATAAATCCTAGCAACAGTGAGCAGCACTGTCTGCACTCCCAGCTCCCTTTCTGACCTCTACCAACACTTAAGTCAGTTAATGAACCTTACACAGTGGTAGAGGAAAGAGTTCAGTGTGACTCAGCGTGATCCCCAATACACCACACTTGACATTTTTGTAGACATTTGGGTGAACACCTGCACTGAATTCTTGCATGCGCTATTAGAATCTGTTGTTATATAATCATTCATCAGAGAGGGGGCAGTCTTCCTTTATATATGCACCTCAGCAATCACTCAAAATAAACCATAGAAACTACTCCCAGGTCTTTCCTTGTGATACCCAATTTGGTAACGTACTAGGGATTTTGTCTCTTTTATTATGTCTTACAGAATCTTTACCTGAGGTGGTAGGCTATATAATATCCCCAAGGACATATGCATTGACACATGATAGTACCATAATCTGAGGATCTAATGAGAATCAGACAAAGGAAAGAAATAAATTTTACAAAAATCTGCTGTATCTAAAAAATATATATTTTTCCTGTTTAGGACACTGAGGGACTTTTGAATGCTTATTTTAAAGGAAAATCTATGTTTTCTTAACTTCACACAATAAAGTACATTAAAAATCTGATTACTGGGATGGTAAATAAGACCATTGCCAGTTTTGCAGAGCAATGGATTTTAATAATAGATTTATAAGCTATCTGCAAGGCAGAAGGAATATTTTCTTTCTCATTTAGAAATGCCATCATCAACTGATAGTAGGCCTTATTTGGGGATCTCAGAAATTGAGCTAAATTGGGGAAGGGGTGGTGGTAGTAGAAAGAAACCCACTTTTCATTGATATTTGAAGAAGCTTTGAGAGGTGGTTTTAATTAAAGAATATGACATATGACAAATGTTCTTCACACAGCATGGAACTTTTCATATTGCTGAGCTTTTAACTTTAAGCACTTTTCTTTTTCACTTTCATTTGAAAACTGAGAAGCCAGAAGAGGCAGTTATACTCAGAGAATTCGAGAAGAAGCTCACCATGATGTTTTTATGGATGAAGCCACGGCGGTAGCGTGCTGGCTTCAGATGTGGATATTCCTCAGTGCTTGTGATTTTAATATTCCAGACTTTCTTCCAGGCCTCATAAAGTTGAACATGGACAGGATAGACCCCGGAGTGATGGGGGGCTACTGCATAGCCCATGTCGGTAGGAATGCCATGCTCCTGAAACATATCAAAAAGATAATTGGGATAACAGAGAGACTTTATATTTTATGATTTTTTTTTCATATCAATCTCTGTTTGATAGCATAAAGAATATTTCTGGTGGGAGAAAGAGGTCTCCATTCAGATTCAAAATACCAATTCAACACATATTTGTTACATACTCTTTAAGGGCAGCTGGATTTCTGTTGCCTGAAAGCGTTGGTAATGCAAGAATCAAACAAGATGTCAGCCCTGCCCACAGAGAGTTTACAAATGAGGGAGTAGGGGGGAAGAGGATATATACAAAAGTAACTAAAGTACAAAATTAAACATGGTGCAAAAGAGAGAGGTACAAACAACTTGCAGTGTGAGATTTGAGTAAATAAAATTCAGCTTTCATTGTAACCTATGGTAACAGAAGAGAAAACTGATGCAGAGAAGTCTAGATATCTCTCTCACATTAAAAAAAAAAGGCTCTTTAAATAGAGTCCATGACTTTCCTGTTATAATTCTGCCACTAGTCTGACAAATACAAGAGCAGGGTTGAAGGTATCTAGCGACTTTTGAAAGTTATTTGTTCTGGTTTACATTCACCAATCGGTTCTTGTTCTGGTATTGGCCATTCCCATGTCGTCCTATTGCTCATGATGTCACTGGTTAATATGAATTCAAGCATTTGCTTCCAATATCAATCAGAATCTCCCTCTCTCCACACATATACATATATTTACATATGTATATAACCCTAAATATATGCATGCATATATATATGAATATGTGTGCATATATGTTTATATCTACATATATCAACATGAATTATAGAAGTCAAGCACATTACGTGTCTCTTGGGCTTATAGTCAAGTTTCTAGTCTCCAAATTGTCACATTTCTATCAAATTTTCCCTTTGCTAGAATCCCCTCAGCATGGAGGTCATTTTTGTGGTCATAGTAGGCAATGCTCATTTTTTTCTAGGAGATCTATCTATGTATCTATCTATCTATGTATCTATGTATCTATGTATCTATCTGTCTGTCTGTCTATGTGTCTGTCTATGACTGGATAACATGGTTAAGTATTTGGAGACTGATTTTCCTAGAAGCTGAAAACTATTCTTACAATGAAAGCAGAAGGCACTAAAGGTGTCAAATAATTTGAAAACAAGAGTTTGAAGTGAAACATCCATGCATAAAATTACCACGTTGAAAAACAAAAGCAAGACAAAAAGCAGAACTTAAAAAAAAAAGCCATTCCTAAAATTTTATTCCCCTACTGTGCACATAAAACCACTCTGTCATGATGAACATTTGGGACAGATGAAGTCTTCCCCAGATGCTATCATTGAAAAAAATTAATCTATGTGACATGGATGTTTACAAAATGAGAATTTTCTGTATGTATATTAGAAACCTTAGTAAGTTACATGATTTTTATTCTCCACTTGGCGTATGTTATTAGAGCTGACACATGTCCTCAGCACACAAGAAAATCACACAACTGTCAGATAAGACTTAAAAAATACCTTACTAATACTTTCTTGTGGATGGTTTTTCTTATTTTTGATCTTTAGGCTTATTTTTGTTTTAGAGATTTTTTCAGAATCCAAATTTCATTCAATTAAACACTCTGTGAAGTTTTTCTTCTTGCATTAGTATCCTTTATTTTTGCACATATGAAGCACCATTATTCCCAATCCATTCTATCTATTTAGGATCTGAATTTAATTAGACTCTGAATTTAAGGAAAGTACATGGGTCCAGAATATAAACACTTTAGCAAAATCAAACATTATGTAAATTATGAAGTAACAGTGAGGAGAGGATGGAAAAAAAATACAAAAAAGTTAGCATGAGAGACAATCAAACAATAAATTATTAAGTGCCTACTATGTGCCAGGCACTGTGCTAAGTGCTAATGGATACAAAAAAGCAAAAGAGAGTCCCTGCTTTCAAGGAGCTTACAATCTAATGCAGGCTCTTACTAAGTCAGATCGTCCCAAGAAAATTTAAAGACAAAACTGGAAGGACAACAAACATATAAAGTGAGAAAAATTGGTGAAACTCTCATATCTATCTCTAGCTTTGATTTAGTTAATCTGCTTTAAAACATCCCCCCCCAAAAAAAATATGGAGCCTCCAAGGGAGCTGAGTGAGACCAGCAGATTGAGTGGTATGAGTACCATTTTGTGTCACCTGTCACCTGTTGCACTAAAAAATATACATTAGAACAACTGAAAATCTGGTTATTTTTTAAAGGGACTATCTTTATTGATTAACTCATGATTAAATGAAGTGTTAAAAAGTGTATTAATTGATGAAGGAAAAAAGGGAAGAGACAAGAGGTGAAATTATTTTCCCAGGGTCACATGGCTAGTAAGTGTCTGAAGTGGGATTTTAACCAATTCTTCCTCACTCTAAGTCCAGAACTCTCTCCACTGCCATGCTTTCCAATTCATGTTATATTTATTTAAAAGCATCCAGAAAGTATTAATTCATACACACTTTTTTTGGGGGGGTGGTATGGAAGCTGTAATTTCATTCGTGTAGAGAACTCCCAATGAAGAAATTCTTTCTGCCAAGGTAGAATATCACATTGCTATGCAACTTTTCTTAAGAGTTGCCCAGAGCACTGACAGGTTAGGAGAGCTCCCAGCATAATATAGTCAGTGTATGTCAAAGGTGCCCCCTTAACTCAGGTCTTCCAGAATCAGGTCCTGCTCTAGTCATTACGCCATGATGCCTTTCTCATGCAAACCATATACAAAAAAATACAGTCATCTGTTCAGCAATAAGTATACCTTTCACATAACCTCCACCTACTTAATGTTTTGGATGGTATAAAGAATTAATTCATTTTTAAAAATATTTTTTTTAACACAGTAAAAACTCAAGAGAAGTGATTCTCACAAGTAAATTAATTGACTACATTTCATTTTCTTCCATAAATTGAAATCCTATTCTCTGATGGGGCTATTTTACAACTTAAAAATGACCTTTGGGGACTTATTTTTTGAGGGGAAGGGCAACATAAATCCCCATCATTTCTGAATGACATTAACAGTCACAAAACCTCTATTTGTAGAGGATGAGAAAAGTGGTGCAGTGAATCAAATAAAAAATGAGCAAGAATAAAATACTTGGGAGAAAGTAAGGAAGATCAAATACTCCAGTGTGAAAATTGTGACCTTTCTGTTTGGTGTGTTTGTTATTAAACATTTATTGTAGCATCTCTATTATTTATGGAATAAAATGGATGATTAATATGGTAAAACTAAATATACACTGTTCATGCGATCAATGAATAGTGATATAGCCACAATGGGAGAAAATAATCTTGGCTCTTCTAATTATTGCCTATGGGACACCAGGGGAATTTAGTGAATATCTCCGTGGTCTACTTTTCTAATTTTTCAAATGGTCAGAGAGGACTAGATAAATTGCCCAAGGTCCTTTATGGTTATCAATCCAATGATACAATTGGGGGGGGAGGACAAAACACCTTCAAAGGCACTAAAATTTCAAGGAATCATTGTGTAATAGTGGAATGAACATTGGTTGACTTCAGAATCAGAAGCCTCAGCATTTTGGTCCCAACTCTGCCACTAATTATTTAGGACCTCAGTTCTCCCATCTGTTATATTAGTTAGGTGGGCTAGATAATTTTGAAGGTCCCTTCCAGCCCTAAGATTCTATGGCCAGAAATTAAAATATTATGATTAATGGAACTATAATACTTCTAAAGTTATCTTGTGACTAAACACATAACTTATTTGTATCAGAAAAAGATTTTTTTTAAAGTCCTTAAATAAAAGAAATTAAAGTAACTGACAGCTAATTCTTTATCCATATAAATGGTCTGACAGCTAAAATTAGAGAATGGTGGACTAGGTCCATCTAATTTGGTGATGGTTTCCAAACAGAAAAAATATCTCATCTGTCCAAGATGGACATAGAAGTGTTCTCATCTGAAGGCAGGAATGATTGATATGAGGTCTCCAAGTTCATTCCAGCTCTTTGGTGCTAAGTTTTATATTAAGATAATGTTATTGTTGACAGCAACATTAAAAAAAAATTCACAGAATTCCATGAAAATACTATTTACTTTTAGTTAACAAATTACGCTTAGCCAAATAGGTGAAACAATTCAGCCCAATGAACTTATGTGCCTGTATACAGACTGGAGGAACTACGGAATTAATGACATTTATTTTTTATCATCTTAACTGTCAACATTTAACAATTCAAAGCCCAACACAATTATTTCATGGGAATTTTCTTATGTAAGGTATGATAATTTGGCTATATCACACTGCAGAATTCCCCAGCCAGTCACCACAAACCTATCATGTAATAGAAATAACTCATACTTTTATATAATTTTAAGAGTCTCCAAAATGTGACTCATACAATACAGGTCTGAGGTGAAAGTCAAATGTCTCTCCAGAACTCAAATGCCTTTCCATTTAGGAAGATAAGAATAATGGTATAGTTTATTATCTTATATTTTCTGCATTTGTTAGTATGTACTTATGAGTCCTTTGTGTTTCAAGCATTCATTTTGTAATACAGTAAGTAAATAGCTGTCCTATCCAGTTGGAGAATAATAAATCAGAGATTAAGAGATGCTTGACCTCTTCTTTCTGAAATAAGCCATTCTTAGCATGAATTAATAGTTTGAGAGTCCAAAATCAGAGCCTGTTGTGGGAGGTGGAAGCCCAGGACACAGGTCACATATTTAGAGTTTTAGAAAAAAATATCCATTTTTCATTTGTTCTTTACAATAGTGATAAGAGGTAGGAAATATAGTTGTTATTGTCACATGAATATACTGAGGCACAGAGACCTTAAGTAACTTGCACAAGAAGGTCACAAAAGTACAGAAAGTATTAAACTTGAATCCAAGGCCTCGCTTTAGAGGGGATTCTTTTCAGATATTAGTTGGATTGATGATTGCTGAGATCCTTCCAACTCTACAATTCTGAATATTTTCAATTCTATAATTCCAAATTCAGTGCCTTTTGT